TTAATTTTTATTAATTTTTATTAATTTTTATTAATTTTTATTAATTTTTATTAATTTTTATTAATTTTTATTAATTTTTATTAATTTTTATTAATTTTTATTAATTAATTTTTATTAATTATTTTATTAATTTTTATTAATTTTTAATTAATTTTTATTAATTTTTAATTAATTTTTATTAATTTTTATTAATTTTTATTAATTTTTATTAATTTTTATTAATTTTTATTAATTTTTATTAATTTTTATTAATTTTTATTAATTTTTATTAATTTTTATTAATTTGTGACGAAGTCACTAAAATTCCCAATAATTTATTCCATAAATTAATTTCTAAAATTAATTTCCATCTATGAACATTTGCAAGACCCCCTGTAACTAATATTTCCGTAGAATTACCGTTTTTAAACATTTGCAAGAGCCCTCGTAGTTTAAAACTTTGCGATATCACAATAATGTAAATCGTCTTGTAAAATTGCAATTCTAGTAGATTTTATCAGTAAGCTGATCAATTAACGTTTTTTTCGCAATAACAATTTATTTCCTCTAGGTGGGGCTACCGCCCCACTCCGGCAAAAGTACGAATTCTGATAAAACTAAATGTTTGCGATGAAGGAGCTCTCTTTTCCTTCTGCTACGCCGTCAGTTCGATAGAAAAAGTTGTCTTGCTGAAGTGCCGTTTTTACCGAAAGCGATTTTTGTGAAAAGTTAATTAAGGTAGGCCTTTTTATTTAAAATTCCGTCTAATAATTCTCCCTGTAACATTCACTTCCGTACTATTAATTACCTGAGCTATTCGACCGATATTTTTGATTTCTTAGTAGCTGTCAGGGTAACGAATTGTATTTAAATCCGGGGCGTTAGTGCCCTTCAACGATTTTCGTGTTAACCAAGGGATGATAGTGGTATTCGCTTGCTATCCCTGTCGAGAGTCGCAGCTGTTTCTGTTTTGTAGAAGCTATGGATTCCCAGATGTCTACATAAGAGAAATTTGAAACCGAATAAATAAAATAAAAATTCTCAAAGTATTGGTCGAATAATACCGCTTTAAGACACCCGTTATTTGGTCTATTGTGCCTTGTAAAATAATATTGCGGGGAGGATATTAGGCGTCGTTCTTACAAAGGCATCCGTCATTTTTTTCTCTCATGAGTGGAGGGTGATACTGTTCACCACCGTTGGCCGATTACCGATATTTTTTTATTACTGAGAGTAGCTTATTAACTTTTTTTATTTTTAAAACGTATAGTTTGAATCATATTTAGTTTTACTATTGTAGATTTTTTTCTTATGGCTAAAACCGGCTGTTTTCATTAATAGCAAGGAATTTGTGCTAAGGGTGTTAGTGCCCACCGTTTTAATTTTTTTTAAAGGGAAAATTGTTATTTTTATTTTCTTATGGGTATAGTATAGGTCATAGTTAATTTTACCGTTATATCATTTTCTGTAAATACCGAGACCTTTTATTTTATCAACATACATAATTCTGCATTTATTTTATTACCGTTATTAAACAGATATATATATATATATATATATATATATATATATATATATATATATATATATATATATATATATACCGATTTCACCCCGTTTATTTTATTTTTAATTATTATTTATTTCATTTATTTTGTAAATATATTTTTGATTGAAATTCCTGAGTTTAATTTTGAATTACGCCTTTGCTTTTTCCGTTTTCAGGGCGTAGTGATCAATAGGTAAAAGTGCAGTGAAAAACTTTATTTACTTTACTACCCCAGTGTAGGTCAACTTAACAGTGAAGGTCTATCCGTTTCATTTTTTTTTTGTTTGTACCTGGACTCCACTGAGTCTACTGAGGGTGTACTCTACGTGCACCCCAGGGCCGCAGAGCAAACTGCGATATCAAAACTGGCGCCTGAGCAACCCCTATTCGGGAATTACATTCATAGCGCCACAGACTCGCTGAAGCACTGTAGGTGAATCAGGAGACCTGTCACAAATTTTTATTAATTTTTATTAATTTTTATTAATTTTTATTAATTTTTATTAATTTTTATTAATTTTTATTAATTTTTATTAATTTTTATTAATTTTTATTAATTTTTATTAATTTTTATTAATTTTTATTAATTTTTATTAATTTTTATTAATTTTTATTAATTTTTATTAATTTTTATTAATTTTTATTAATTTTTATTAATTTTTATTAATTTTTATTAATTTTTATTAATTTTTATTAATTTTTATTAATTTTTATTAATTTTTATTAATTTTTATTAATTTTTATTAACTTTTATTAATTTTTATTAATTTTTATTAATTTTTATTAATTTTTATTAATTTTTATTAATTTTTATTAATTTTTATTAATTTTTATTAATTTTTATTAATTTTTATTAATTTTTATTAATTTTTATTAATTTTTATTAATTTTTATTAATTTTTATTAATTTTTATTAATTTTTATTAATTTTTATTAATTTTTATTAATTTTTATTAATTTTTATTAATTTTTATTAATTTTTATTAATTTTTATTAATTTTTATTAATTTTTATTAATTTTTATTAATTTTTATTAATTTTTATTAATTTTTATTAATTTTTATTAATTTTTATTAATTTTTATTAATTTTTATTAATTTTTATTAATTTTTATTAATTTTTATTAATTTTTATTAATTTTTATTAATTTTTATTAATTTTTATTAATTTTTATTAATTTTTATTAATTTTTATTAATTTTTATTAATTTTTATTAATTTTTATTAATTTTTATTAATTTTTATTAATTTTTATTAATTTTTATTAATTTTTATTAATTGTTATTCATTTTTATTAATTTTTATTTATTTTTATTAATTTTTATTAATTTTTATTAATTTTTATTAATTTTTATTAATTTTTATTAATTTTTATTAATTTTTATTAATTTTTATTAATTTTTATTAATTTTTATTAATTTTTATTAATTTTTATTAATTTTTATTAATTTTTATTAATTTTTATTAATTTTTATTAATTTTTATTAATTTTTATTAATTTTTATTAATTTTTATTTATTTATTTTTAATTTTTTTATTTCACCACAGTTTCCTGCTCTTAAAGTGTTAAAAATTCAAAATCCTGGAAGAGGCCAGTATTTATTTATGCGTAGCTACAATTCCAAATTTTAAGTTCCTACCTTTGAAAAAGCCGATAATCCCATACACACTTTTACCCCCGATTTCCCACTTTAAAATGTAAATAATCAAAAAAAACCTGAAATACATCATTATTTATTTATTTATAATGAGTAGCTACAATTCAAATTTTCAAGTTTCTACTTTCAAAAAATGTATACTCAGATACAAACTTTCACCCCCCCCCCATTTCTCCCCCTTAAAATGTAAATATCCGAAAACCCTAAAATACGTTATTATTTTTAGCAAAGTGCAATATTTATTTTTTATATCGTCTTTAAAAAATATAATGTAAATTTTGCTTCTATTTCTTTTTGTAAATGCATGCGACACCATCATTCGACTTAAATCCTCACCGCTACATCAGTCTGACACTGTTTATCCGTACCTCCAGCATTTGTAGGTAGGATATATTTCTATAACTTCAAATTCATTAGATGAATAAGTAGACTATCTTGATAAGTAAATGTAATCTTTTAGCACAGGGTTTGTTTTGTCGGAACACTAACAAACCGAAGGATAGGCAAGATGAGAGGGAGGTTGTTTAGATCACATAGGCGTATCATAAATTTATTTTAATATAATAGGAATATTATTGAGATTTTTATGGGTCGATTCTGAGACAATATATAAGATCTGTAAGCCAAAATCTGTAAAAAAGTATATTACAAACACTATATTGTTATGTGAGCCATTTCATTATTCAGTCATGCTCTAACCCTACAAGTCCCTCTCTGTCTTATTTGGCCTTTGAGGCTCAACTTGTCCGATTATTATACATAATTAAACCCCTTAAGACCAAACCTATGTGATGACTATGGCGGAGGTGCTTTCGAGACTTTTTCAGGTAAAAAGTGATAATGTTTCTAGTTTTGGCAAAGAATATTCTACAACATTCACCATAATTTTAAATTTGTATATAAATATTGGTGGAGGTGAACGCTGAGGCAATTATTATATGGACAGTGAATATAAATGGTGAACAGTTTAGAGACATTCGAAATATATATAAATTAGAATAATAGTGTTATAAATAAATAAGTGTTTAAATAAATTATAAATAAATAAACTGTTGTTTAAAATAAACAAACATCACATTATTATATACTTTTAGTTTATTGATGTCTGAAACTGTCAGAGTAAAATAGTAATTATTAAAGCCTACCTGATTTAGTGAAATTTAAAAAAAACACGCATTCTCTGTATGACAATCGACAAATTTAAAACATTAAAACTAGACTATAATTTTTAAATGGTTTTAGATAATAAAAAGTGGTATTTAAAAAAAACAAAAAAAAATAAACTTCCATATATATCCCAGTTGCAAACATCAATCGGCGTAAATGAAACACTTTTTACAGAACGCAATTTGCTGCAGCCGTTTAAGAGATAAACTCATTTCCCATGATAAAAGAATCACCCTGTACACCACCTCCAAGTCTACTTATTCACATTAGTATTGTTGTAAATAAACCAATAATATAATTAAAGGTTATATCATAAGTGCGTCTAATTTAATGGATTAAACTTTATACGAAAATATTATTTTGAAAATTTTGCTTAGTAAATGACTTAAGTGTATAATAATTTGATAAATTCCTGAGACCGTAGGTCGATTCCAGTAGATTCCAACCCTCTATTTAAAATTGTTTTGGATGTACTAGGTTGTTGGTCCACATTAAATTCATTGCGTCTTAATTTATTTATAACGCTTAAATGATGTTCAGTATCCATTTGAAGGTACGGTTTTATAGAACTAGCACTTCCATGGCCTATTATTTTAATTAGTTTTTGTTCTTGTGCTTTATTTTTAATTAAATTACTTACAGCAGTGGCTCTATTTGAATGGTTAGTAATTTTACATTGTTTTGTATCCAAACCAATTTTTGCGGCCGCTTTTTTCGTCCATTTATGTATTGTATTTCTTCCTATTGGCATATTCTTATACTGGTAAGAAGATTCTGTTTCGTTCCAACTTGGATTACATGTTAAAAACATTCTATCTGTTGTTATATTAGGACCTCGTTTGCTTTTGATTTTTTTAAATAATCTAACTGGACATACATTCGGGTTTACTTCATTAGGCGCTAACCACTTGCTCTCACCACATTTTTTAGCTACTCATTTCGCCGGAAAACCCTTTATTTCAATATAAACATACATTAATTAGAAAATTAAAATTTGTCTACTGACGTTATTTAATGTGGTGAATATGACATATCAAACAATATAATAAAATTAGATAAATCTAACGTTTTACTCATAACATTTTAACATAAAAGGGATCCAAAAAACTTGTCAGAGTTGTTGTGGTACTAGCTACTACTTGAATCGAAACAAAAGCCACTTCAGCTTGATCACCTGCCATTCTAAAAATAATAAATATATCTGAATCAAAAAAAAAATTTTGTGTATTTTAAATAAAGTAAATTATATAGGTTGGTAGGGATAAATGACAGATGACTAAACGGACATAATGTACCAGAAAAGCCTTATATACCTAGTTGTGTCAACAGTAAAATAGATAATTAAATAATATTATTGAATGGAAAATAATGTTTGGTTAATAAACATAGAGCTATCAGTACCCATATATCAGATCTACTACAAAAAATATTATAAAGTTTTTAATTTTTGTCAAGATAATATACAGGGTGTCCCATTAGGAATGGGGCATATAACAACTGACGATTTTCTGAAAATTAAAAAATAATTGCTATATTATTTTTACATTGCTCAGTAAAATTTTACTTCATTCGGTAGAAGTTTTTGGTGTCATAATATCATCGAGATAGAATAAAGTAGAGACGACATAAACACTATTTTGCTATATGACAAATGGACGTATTTCGAGTGACGGAAAAGTGTAATTAAAATGGCGACTTGAGTCGTACTTTGATTTATTTGATGTCAATAATTTTATATTTGAAGACTGATGAATTTAAAATGATTTTATATAATTTAAATAGAGATTTAAAAAGAAGGCATTTATGCACAACAAAACTGACTAGCTCGAGTTTGACATATATATAGCAAAGGTGCAGATACTTTAGCATCTCTTCCTTATTCTACTACAATGCATAAGATATTCCTATCTGCAAAACAATCACATAAATGAACTCATATATAAGTAACATCTACATCCCCTCTAACTTTTACGCCGTTGTTCAAAAACATATTTTAGCTATAGTTTTACATTTTTTGGTGTGATTGGTTTTCGAGATATTCGCACTTAAACGTGGATATTCTCTATTTCAATTTATTTTTAATTCTGTAATTTTGGATTTTTCTTATAAAATTATAGTGTCATAAGAAACATCTATCAGCAAAAAATCAGTAAATAATCTTTGCCAGTTGGGTAATGCATAGGTAAGTAACACCTTAATTTCTTTTAAATTTTACGCCAAAATCTATTTGGGCTACATTTTAGAATTGTTTGATGTTTTTTTAAATAAATCATGTACTCTTGTTGGAAATTTATAAAACACAATAAAATTACAAAATTAAAAAATAAATTCAAATGAAGAAAATATGTGAATATTTCGAAAAAGAATCACTTTATGAGTATCTAACAAAGGTACATGATTTATTTAAAAAAAAAATTAAAAAATATAATAATTTAATCCAAATACGCTTTGAGACATTGGCATGAAATCTAAATTTGAAGGTGCTACTTATCCACGCTGTACGCCATTGACACCGTTTATTTAACTGATTGTTTTGCTGACGCGTATGTACTAACACCAAAAATGTCTACCGAATTTAGTAAAATTATACAGAGAAATAAAAAAATTATGGCCATTAACAATTTTTTTATTTTCAACTTTAGCACCCTGTATTTTGGAAACCAGTAATATTGTATTGAAGCATGTTTCATTTAATCGTCTTAGTTTTATTCAGAGAATTTTCAGTTATTTTGTATTCCATTCTTAATAAGATCCTTTATTAAGTAGTATTTGATAACTCTTTCTAAGTAGTGGTCTGTTTAAATCAGGGAGGTAGAAAGTAGGGAGATGCTGTCACGTTGTCTAAGACGAGTTCACTTCGGCCATATTGTATTTACGAATCCGCCAAACAGTTGTGCTTAATGTAGATTTAATCTAACAGATATTTATATGAATACATTATCTATATTAACATTCCAGAACTAAATATACAATATAATAAGCAATATGCACGACGGTAATTGGAAATATTGAGTTGTGTGTGTGTGTGTTGGGTGGGGGCTGGCATCGGATTCGAAGTCCATTTGCCACAGATTGTTTGTGGTATTATTACAATATATTATATAACTATTTTGGTTTTATATATAAATTGTACTAATAGGTCATATATGTTCTTGTCAAAACTATTAAGAAGAGTGGTAATATTAAGTGGGGGGAATATATTAAAGTTTTTTAGCTCAGATATTAATTGTATTATAGCATTATTATTATTGGAACAGTGGAAGAATAGGTGGTTCAAGTCTGCAATACTTGAATTGTCGCAAGGACAGTAGGGATTCTCTAAAATTCCTATTTTGTTCAGATGATGAGGAAAACGTCCGTGATTTAGTTTAAGTCGCGTTATAATGGTAGAATATGTTCTAGAAGTAGAGAAATAGAGGTTTGGAATATCTTTTGGGAGGGTAGGATGTATTAAAAAGTAATGGTTTTTTGATCTGCTAACAAACTCATTATATAAAGCCGACCATTTGTCCCTAATGTCCTTCTTTAGTTTACACAAGATATCATTATTATTAGTAGGAGATTTTGTGATATTTTCAATACTACATGCTTGTTTGGCAGCCTCATCTACTATTTCATTTCCTACAATACCTGAGTGGCCTTTAACCCAAATGAACTGTATTTTTATGTTTTTTATTTTGGCATCTTTAATTAGGTCTTTAATTCTAAATATGATTTCATTGTTATAATATTTCAATGGGCATCCTTGTAGAGCTTGTAGTACCGATTTAGAGTCAGATAATATTATAGCTTTCTAAATTGAATTGTTTTTAACCCATTCTAGTGCTTTTTGTACTGCTAAAGCTTCTGCCGTAAATATTGAAGATATGTCTGAAATACGATATTTTTCAATATGATTTTTGTGGTTGAAACAAAAATTCCGAAACCAGTTCCGATTTTACTTTTGGATCCATCTGTGTATATATTTACGTCATAGTCTATAAATCTGTTTAATATTCCTTTCAAGATGGCATTATTCAAAGAGGGTATTTCGGAGTATGTAGGACATATGATGTCGGGTTTAACAATTATTGTTTTAAATGTATAAAGAAATATCGGGTATTGTTCGTATTTAGTTATATGATTTTCGAGATTACTGGTATCAACAAAGGCTTCAGCTAGAGGTGGCGCGTTTTTTTTCTTCCAATATCTATTTGTAAGGTTTTCTATAGCAATAGTTGAGATTTGATTTGTTATGAACGTATTATATGATCTATATTTGACTACTGCTTTATTCGCCAAGTATTGTCTGCGAAATGCTAACGGAAGTTCTTGTGACTCAGCTAGAATTGCATGATTCGGTGATGACTTCATTGCACCTAAGCATATTTTTAAGGCCTTGTATTGTATGCGATCCAATACTAACAAGTTAGTATTGGATGCGGATCCGTATAATGTGCACCCATAATCGATAAGAGAACGAATGTAGGACCTATAGAACATAATGGATAAGTTAGGATCAGCTCCATATGTTTGCTTGCATACAACCTTTAGAAGATTTATACCTTTCTCACATTTTGATCTTAAGTATTGTATATGTTTGGTCCATAATAGTTTTTTGTCTAAGAAAATACCTAAATATTTGTAATATTCGACAACAGGGATAGTATATTCACCAATAGTAATATTATCTGGAAATCTTCTTCTGTGTCTTGAAAAGCACATAATGGCAGATTTCTCTGGTGACATACTAAAACCTAATTCGAATAACCAACTTTTAAGGCAATATAGTATATATCGCAAATCTCTGTAGCATTCTTCATATGTTTTATGGGAGACATATAAGCAGATATCATCGGCGTATTGGATAATATTAATATTGTCATCAAATAAACCATGCAATTCGGCTGTGTATATGTTGAAAAGTAAAGGACTTAAAATAGAGCCTTGTGCGAGACCATTATAGACTATTGAGTTATTAATTATGCTTTGAGTGAGAGTGCTGCAACCTCATTAGGGTTTTGTTAAGATGAATTAAAAATGTGAGAATTTGCTAAAGCTGGTAGAACAATTAGATTTAATAAAAATGATAAATATTCTCTTTGATATTGTTACACAGGTTTTTGGTATCGTAATTTATTTCAACTCAACTTTAACAACAATTATACAACTGATAACATTAACATGTAACGTCTATCATAAAACTGAAACTCTGACGTCAGGTCGTCGACTTATATAGCTTGCTTGACCTTCTCGAACCTTCTCGAACTATCGTCTAAAATATTCTTGACGGGTAATGATATTTATGGACATTTCTTGAATATTCTATCTTCTTTTACTTGTACTTTTACTTATGACGACCGCAGCACGCTGTAGAGCGATGTGTAACATTCCACTTCTTTTTATCTAACATTATCTTAAATTCTAGAAATTTACTTCAGTATAGTTATAAAGAGCCTTGGTCTTTAAAATAATTAATGAATGTACATTAATTTTCTTAACTGACATGAATAAGTATATTAGTGACTTAAAAACTTTCTTTGATTGTATTCGCTCACATGGAGGCCACAACGATAACCACACCACTCGACAATTTCTGGGGGACTATTTTCAAACTCGAGAGATAGTAATTTTCAATGATAAATGAATGTTTCTCTTGGTTTATTTCGAGAGAATTTTAAAAATACTTTTTTTACGTTGACGTATGACATTTTTTATGAAAATCTTGAGAGAAATGAGTTTTTCTAAGTTTGAAAATGGGTCCACAGTTTACAAAAAATATTAGTATGTACATGTCGAAGTACGTGAAGGTTTTTATGGAAATTGTTCTACTCTAGAACAGCTAAGAATTTTAAAATGTACTGTTCGTCAAATCAAAAGGCTATAAGAAATCTTGGCTTCTCAGAAAGTTACAATAGTGTGCTAGACGATACTGAGTATGATGATAATTATTTATCATATCCCAAACTATCGGGAATTACAAACTATATTATTAAAAAAGCCCATTTTTTAACAAACCATAAAGACCTATAAATATTTTCGATTACAGATAAAAAAAATTAAAAGGGCCCTCCGTATCCCTCTGTGAATGTGTTAGACGTTTGTCTTTAATATGAGCAAATACTAAAAAGGTTGCTTTAAATTATCCACCTAATTTTAGTAGAATATGTAGAGTTTTCAATGTTACCAAGTCACTAATAAAT